TGGATAGCTTTCACCGATCACTTGATTTACATCGACCAATAAAATCGCACCATTTTTATATGTTCGTTTCATTTTGCCCCCCTCTCCCAAAAGTTTTGAAAGTGATGTTAACCGAAGAATTAACTTCAAACGGCCTAATGCAGATCTTATATCTGTTTTTTAAAGATTTAACGTTAGGGCACTAAATAGGCACATAAACCAGAATTTTTATTACCTTTTTTATTTTATCTTATACATATTAATCTATAGACGAATCTAATTGTAACAACCTGCTACGTGCTAATTTAATCAGTACAACAAATTCTTAATGTAGTTAATATGGGCTGAGTACTATAGAAAAGAGGGAAATTGACAAATTTTCAAAAAATTTTTTTTACGCAAATTAATTTAAAATAAGATCTGGATCAGTTTTCACTTAAAACACAAAAGCAGTTATATTAATAAAATTTTGTAGTATAACTCTTTAAAGTTTGTATTTTCTTATAATTTGTTATGAAATTTATAACATAAAAATTGATCTTCCAAAGAACTTTTGTTTTGTCGATTTCCCCTTTTCTATAGCACCTAGCCCATATAATTACACGGACAGAAATCTAATAAATTGACATCGTTACAATAACTCTCCATCTTTGTATATGGCAATAAGGAACATTCTCTGTAATGTTTTTTTTCAATAAAAAACATGCACAAGAATTAATTTCATATTATCTTGATAAGAAAGAAATTAAAAGTTTTCACATAATCATATTAATACTATATTAATCCAGTATTGCAAAAAAAAAGTCAGATCATAATATAAGAATATAAAATTGCATAACTTCTCGTTTTATTAACTCTGTGGGCTTAAAATAACAACCACTAAGTAAATATTCTAACACAATCTTTTCTGCGTATTTAGCGAACAACGTTAGGCGAGACCAACTTGATTCTGTGTTTTACATTACCCCCCTCTCCCCTCCAGAAGAGGGGAGGGTTGTGGTTTACATAGTAAATTTTTAAAAATTTTTTTTTTTCAAAAAAAAATTTTTCCAAATTTTTCCGTAACTATATAAAAATTTTCCGAAATAACCCATAGCCCTATGTATATTTATCTAAATTTTTTTTACTATGAGGGAGAGGGACGCTGAGAGGGGGGTAATGTAAAAACACAGAATCAAGTTGGTCTCGTCTAAGCATGTCATGTTATTATTATAAATTGACTTTACCATTTTAAGTTAATGCATATTTTTATTTTACGTATTAAACCGATTTGGTTGCAAAGATTTCACATGATTGTTTATCATGAATTATGTTCATATAATAGTTGAAGAATCTTCTAAGATTCTATATGAAACCGCAATTAATATAGCTCACATTGTGAATAGTGGAACTTTCAGTGACTTGCTTTATGAAATTGCTAGTGATGAATTTTCAAGAAGAAAAGCTCAAGTCTTTGGCCGTGAAAAAAAAAAAGATCAATGAACAATGTTGCAGGACGGATTGGATGATTATTTACAAGCATTAGTTTAATTAAATTTTAAATTTGTTAGATTTTTGCTTGAATATGATGAACCACAAGAAATTACGCATCCTGTATTGCCAAATGCAAATGTGGTATTGATGGATAATGCAAAACAACTTCATTTTCCTAAAAAATTGTCTCGAGGTAATAGTCGTGACTACCTATATAATGATCTTATTGATCTTCTTAAAGAAAAGGGTGGAGGATGGTCTGCTGGATGTCAAAATACGAGGGGAAAAATATTTTTAGAACGGTTATCTGGTGCAATCTGGTATATTGATCCACATATTCAATTACTTCAAAGTCGTGCATGTCATCTACCTTCTTTATTTCAGCAATTGCCAAAATACAAATCAAATTCTATCTACAATACATATTATTTCAAATCGCATCACAAAAAAGAGAAACTTTCCTACCAAAAATTACTTGAACATTGCAAATCTATAGAATATAGTGCTAGTGAAACATGGGCGAGTGGAAAAAATTAGACAGAAATTATTTTGGAGGTCTTTAATTTGGCTGCTATGATGCGAAAATATGCTGAACATTTACAAAAATCTTTCCAGCTTACTAACAATGCACATCATTCCACTGAATTAGTTCGTACACCTAGTAAACATTGCAAGCTTAAAATAATTTTAAGCCGTTTAAAAGTTGATTCCAAATATGAAGAGTTAGAAAAGAACCTTGCTAATAGGGAACTTTATGATTTTATTAAAATTTCCGAGTTTCTTTCATCTGAATGTATTGAGCGTCACCAATGGATTATTGAATTAAAATTATCATTTCCATTTTGTTTATATATGTACGTACGTACGTTTATATTTATAATTTTTTATGCCTATTAAAAAGTAAAGTTAATTATACTTATATTTTATTTAGATATAGCCAAGGAAACTATCTTGGCAATATCAATTATGTTTGGCGGATTAGTGAGCCTGAATGTATTAATAATGAACATGAAACTCGTAATGTACAAACAATTGCTGCAGTTAATAAAATAATACCTCAATTTATAACTCGAATGATGAAAAAAAATGTCATTAACAAAGTAAGTGTTTATATGTACTGTATATATATTTTTTGGTGAATTATACTCTTATTATTTATTTTTATTTATTTAGTATTTATTAATAAAAACATTAAATCTGAGCGTTCTTAATATGTTGCATCATGACCTTACTGGTGATGCGTCTGCTTCTAATCCAGTTAGTAAAGATGTACAAGATTAATGTTAGAACTTGAAGATCCTAATATTATTTTTAATCTTCGAATAAATAATGGTTTTAAAGGATCAAGATTTGATATGTTTTGGTCAGAATTACAAGCTTTTTTTAATGAGGTATTTCTAATTAAATATTTATTATAATTTAATTTATATCTTTAGTAATTAATATACTTATAATTTAATTAGAATACTCCAGCTGTTGATGATCAACGTCATGAATCTGTTTTATATTTGCCATGGTTTATTTCTATACGTGATCTTCAAGAAACTATTATTTCTCATCTTAAATATCAATATGGAGATCCTCTTCCTGAAACAATTTATATACCAAGTATTGAGTGGATTCGGCTTCAATTCTGGCCTAAAAATTCAACAACAAATTGTGCAATGCAATATACTGGAAATTTTAAAATCAAATATCAGGTTCAAAGTCATCAACTTCGAAAATTTCATCCAGATGCACATTATTGTGCTGCTTATTTTAGATATTTACGTGAGTTTGCTATTTTGTATAAAGAATTTGTATGCTTCATTTTAGCTGATGACAAACACAAAATTCCAATTGGGGAAAAAGTTCCCACGTCAACTGGAGTTCGAAATCGACCAACTATGGTTCCAGTTAATAGTCAACTTTCTGCATGCGATCATGATTTTACCAAATTATCAATTACTCCATCAGTTATTTTTTTTTTGTAATATTCCAAACGATATTTCTGATTCTTTTTATAATGGAGATGTTTATGTAGGATATAAAAATACGGTATTTGAAAGTAGTAATGCAATTTGTCATGCAACTGAATTTTTTCAAACAATTAGTCATAAGTTTTCCAATGAAATACCATCAATTTTATGCTTGTATACTGACGGTGGTCCTGATCATAGAACGAATTTTGGATCAGTTCAGATTTCTCTTATTTTATTATTTTTTAAAGCCGACTTTGATATGATTATTGCAATGAGGACTGCATCATATCATAGTTGGGCAAATCCTGCAGAAAGAATTATGTCAATTCTTAATTTAGGTTTACAAAATGTCGCTTTAGTACGAAATGATCTTAGTTCTGAGCAAGAAGAGATTTTTAAACAATTAAATATTATTGAGAAGATTCGAAAAGCAGCTGAAAGCAATGAACGTTTAAAAATAGAATTAATAAATAGTATCGAAGATATTCAAACTCTATTATTTGAAAGAACTACACGACTAGTTTTAAATAATAATTCATTTAAATGTTATAATTCTGTTTCAAATAATGATATAAACGAGTTATTTGAGGTAATCTATTTTATTTATTTAAATATTAACAATAATAACTAATAATAATTTTATATTACAGGAAATGAAACATATTGATAAATCTCTCCAAATTGATGAAACAACGTGGGCAGAGCTACGAAAACATAAAAAATTAATGGAATTTTTAAAATCACATTGCCAACAAAGATTGTATTCTTTTCAGGTTAATACAATATTTTATTTATTTTTTAAGTTCTATAATATGCACTAATATAATATATCTTTAAGATTAAAAAATGTATCCAAGATAGTTGTCCTTTTTGTAAACCTATTCGAATGCTATTCGAAGAATTTAATTCGCTTAATTTTTTGCCCGATCCTATACCATCTGTAGACGGTTAGTTTTTAAATGCTAATTAATTAATTAATTAATTAATTAATTAATTAAATTTTAATTATTTAGATGCAAATCACTATAGCTCATTTGATTCAATGTATGGAAATGAAACTAATGAAAATTACTGTCCATCCTTATCATTAAAACAAGAAGGGAAGGAGCATGGTCCTAGTGGCCTTTATACGCACAAGAATATTAATGGTTGGGTAGAATGTACATCTTGTGGAAAATGGCGCTGTCTTTACAGTCAGAATTCTCTTAATGATGATGAGGAATTACAGTGGCAAACAGCACTTCAAGATAACCTATATACCTGCGGAAGTCCAATTTTAGATGAAGAACATCCATTATATAATACTCTTTTTGTTCGTGAACTTATTTCTTGTAACTCACCTATCGAAACAAACTATTATGTATGCACAAAGGAGATCGAATTCAACTTTGTTATTGGTGTGGAACAATGGATGATTTATCAGATTTGCCAAGTACATTAACTGATAAATATAAAAAAGTTTATTCATATTGTAGAGCATGTAAAAAATCGGGAAAAGATCATTTTACTCAAATTGAAATTAAGATTGGTAAAATGAGAAGTAAAAAATGGGAATTAGATTCTTAAATTTTTTACTTTTATAAATTTTGTTAAAGCTGCATAATAAAATATATAAAATAAAATTTTCTCAAATGTTGCAGTTATTAAATAAATATATATATAATAATTATTTATTTACTATGTGAGGGGAGAGAGTAATATAAAACACAGAATCAAATTGGTCTCGCATTACCGCTTCAAAACTTTCTGAAATATTAGCGACTAGAAAATTCTATATATATATATATACTTAAAATTTTTTTTTACTAAGGAGGGGGTGTAATGTAAAACAGAATTAAATTGGTTTCGCTTAATAATTATTTAAGTTACATTCCCCTAAATAACGCCCCTGGGGCGTTATTCTAGATAAGGCGAGACCAACTTGATTCTGTGTTTTATATTACCCCCTCTCCCCTCCAGAAGGGGGGGTTTGTGCTTTACATAGTAAAATTTTTCCGAATTTTTCCATAACTATATAAAAAATTTCCGAAATAACCCGTAACCCTATGTAAATTTTTTTATTATGAGGGAGAGGGGGGGATGCTGAGGAGGGGGGGTAATGTAAAACACAGAATCAAGTTGGTCTCGCCTTACTGAGAATAAAATTCTTTCGATTAATGATACTATAAGGTATAAATCCCTCAAAGCTCTAAATGCAGAATGGTGAACTCACGTTTACATTTCTATTGTAGTTTTCTTGTGACAATGTGGTAGATTTTTAATTCCGGCCGGAGTTAAGATAATTTTTAAATAAATAGAAATTATAATTTTGACTGGAGTTAAGATAATTAATTATGACTAGATTTAGGAGTATTAATTCCGGCCGGAGCTAAGATAAACAGAAATTATAATTCTAACTAGAATTAAGATAATTCCGATAGATAATTCTGATCAGAGTTAGGATTATTAATTCTGGCCAGAGTTAAGGTATAAAATAGGAATTATGATTTCAGCTGGAATTAAGATAATTCCGATAAATTAATTTGGCTGGAGTTAAGGATTAGTGTTCCACATGAATCGGACTGGGCGGGTATTTTTAAAAATCCGGATTCGGTCCGAAGAACAAATCAGATCAAAATTTGGATCCGGTCCAGTACTTCTGAACATTTTGACCAATCAGAAAAGCCAGCTTATACTTTGAACCGGATCGGGCGGATCTCAATACGGGTCTGAACCCGGTCCGCCAATGGACCCGGGCGGGTAGGCGGGCGGACCAGATCTTTTGCGGAACACTATTAGGGATGTAAAATTTAATTATGTTTACCAGAGTTACGAGCAATTATGTTTACCAAAGTTACGAATTAATTCTGCCCAAGTTACGAGCAATTATATTTACCAAAGTTACGAATTAATTCTATCAAATTATGTTTACCACTCTTTTGGATCATGATTTTTTTTGCTTTTGATTCTTGCTTTGTTTCGTTGGTTTATTGAATTTTCAGAAAAGTTTATTGGTCAAAAATCACATGATTTCCCTCCGATCCTTTTGTTTTGGACCTATAATTTCCCGGGTCCTGGAGATCTACAAAATTGTGAAATCAAAACAAATCTTTTTATCGTTATTATTTTCCTCATAAAAAAAATGAATGAATATCTGGAATATTCTGATACATATAAATTAGAGAAGAGTTTTTACCACTTTTGCATTTATAGTGCTATTGTTGGTAAATTAAATTTTAGCAATAGTTTCGATCAAATTAAGTGGAACATCAATAGAACATGTAACGGTTATGGACTATCAAAGTCGAAGCTCAGGGAAGTATATATTTTATTACTTTCTATAATATCCTAATGATGATCAAATACTTTAAGCACGATATAGAGCCTTATTTTCCTCTTTGAATATATTTTTTTGTTTTATGCCCCCCATAGCTTTATGTATACAATTTGGAGCTTTGCCTTAGTTTTTTTGTATATATAATATGGAGCCTCGCTTAGTCTTCAACTTAGCCCCTTCGTATACATACCCTTCTTTGTGCCCCTCCATAAAGTTTTGTATATATTATGGGCCTCGCTTTAACTAATATGCATTGTGGAATTTTGTATAATTATTTTATATTATGGTTAAAGTTATTAATGCTGATAAACATATTTATGTATTTATTTTGAGATTCTACAAACAGGGTTAATTAATATTAATTCTATTGAATATTAATAGTAATGAATTAAGCGAATTTTGGAATATGATCAAGAAAACGAAAGAAACAAATTTATATACATTATATGGCGTATATATTGAACGTTGTGCAAAAAATTTGGATTTTATGATCTTTTAAATCAAACCATTTATGAACTGATTGAATTTATTAATGCTAAGAACATAATTTTAAAGGTAATCAATTTTTTTAGTAAATTTTTAGCATTCATATTAATAAGATTATATAAAATTTAACCTTTTATTAGCTTCAAAATATTGATGTAAACCCGGTTGCAAAAATAATTAGCCTTTCACAAGCTTTCTATCGCGCCAAATGATCTTCTCTTGTCTGGAATATTGGATATTGAAAATATAATTATTCAGCATGCACAAATTATAGAAGAATTAGAAAAAAAGAATTTATGGAATACAGTAAATAAGCAAATTCAACATGTGAAATTAAACAAAAGATTAGTTGAATTTATTTTAGAAGTACAACAAAACCCATTCATAAATATTCCAGAATGTGAGAATCAATCATTATTTTCTAACACGAAAGATTTGGTCAAGTCTATGTATGTGTTTTCTATATTTTTTTTTTATCACTATTAGATGCATTAATTGAAATTTATAATTAGGTTAAAGTTATGGAAAATTCCAGAATATATAATGCAAAGTTTCTCGATAAATGAATCAACCTGAGAACATAATGTATTAGATCCTATAATAAAATATATTACTTATGATTTAGAAGATGATATATTTATTAGATGGTAAGCTAATTACTTAATTTAATTTGCAAATTGATTTAATATTAATTTTGTTAAAACAGAGATACTAT